ATGCACGACGAGGTCGTGGAGGCATCTGGAGTCCGTGGGACGACCCACGCCGACGCGAGGGGCAGCAGCTCCCTAAGAGGCCGAGACTGGTAAAGCCCGAACTGGTACGATCCATGGGGAAGGATTGCAATCCTGCGGGCGGGACTTACGGTGGAAGAGTTTGGGGACTTATTCGTGTGTAGGGGATCCACCGAAGCAAGGGAAAAATGGTGTAAAGACTCCTCCTCCTTTAAGAAAGGAGCGGCAGTGAACAACATGGATGAACTGACCTGCACTCCCCATTCCCTGTCCCCCTGTGCCGCCGGGGGGGGAGGTTGAGCCAGGAACGAAAGGAAATAGGGGGCGGGGAGGTGTTGTTTTAAGATCTGGCCTTGTTTTCTCTTTCTACTCTCAAGTAACCGGTTCCGTTCCCTTATGTCTCCTGTTAAGTAACTGTTAATAAATTGTTTTGTTTTATGAAGAAAGCCTGAGTCATGTTTTGCCCAGGACCATGGTTGGTGGGTGCTCCCTCTCGGTTCTTGTCTCGACCCTCAGTCCAAAAACCACGACACTACTAAATCTAAAGCCTTTCATTGTGAAATGATTCAAAATGAAATCAACTCAGAGCACCCTCTCCTTGGACGACCATACTTTGCCTTTCCCATTCCTGGTCTTAATGACTTTTTTTTTTTTTAATTTCAAAGACCCACCTGTAAAAACAGGAAATATTTCACCAGTTTTACGTGTGTTGGATTGGTATTTTTGTTTTTCAAGTAGACGTCACAGTTTAATATCATGTACCTCTTGAACCACTTACATTAGCCTGACTCAAGTGAGGAAAAACGGAAATTTGATTTACCCATACAAAGTCATGTCCTATCTGCAGAAAGTGCTAAAAACTCCCACAAGTTGCCTTCAGTTGAATTCACACGCTTTACTCAGGCAGACTGCACCTGTACTATACACAAATGCTTGTATGAAAGGCAGCTGTTAAGAAATCAGCAGAAGGAAGAAGTGCCAGACCTTTGTCCTTCTCTTCAATACTGAGAAGACATATGGAAATTTGGTTTTAGTGAAAACAGATGCCTTTTCATTTTTTGTTTGAATTTGGCTATAGATTTTTGTCGAAATCTGAGAATACTGCTGCTAAGCGATATTTGAAGTGAAGTTTTTAGTGCAGTAAATAACTGGTGGTAGCCCTCACCTGCAATTTTACTGAGGTGACACCCCTTCCCATTGTATGAAAGCTATGCTTCAGAGTAATTTTTCCTACCATCTTATTACTGCATAAGGCATACCAGAAAATTTACATTAAATAAATGAATCAGTGAAATATTTTACGGCTTCCTTTAAGTTACCTGAGATCACTATTTTTAGTCAAGAATTTGACACTAAAGCTTTGCTAGTGTCAAACAAGTTTAAGTCATGTTCGCTATGGTCTCCAGCTCAGGTTCTCCATAAAGGAAAAAGGTGAAATCTTTACTGAAGTCAAGAGCAAAACTTGCATTGACTGAAGTGAAGCTAGAATTTTACCCAGAAATTCTTATGATTCATGACATAGTTATTTATTGTTTCAAATGGATTCTTCCATATTTTATGATTTTTTTAATTTTGGAAGGCCTCCTGGTTATAGATGGTTTCATAGTTTTCTACATTCCCAGCAGTGCCCCAGCTAGCACACTGCATTAGCAGTATTACATCACAGATGTGAAGCATTTTTGAGATACTGTGTGGGAAGTCACCGTAGTTTACAACAATAATTTTAACGCCATTGCGTTGAGATCGCACAACATCTGGGACATTATTGCTAAAACGAAAGACCATTCATGTGCGACATAGCGCATCCCATTTTTTCCAATACAGAAAAAATACAGCCCTGTCACTATGCTGATTTGCTCTGTAATTTACAGTTCATACATTATTGCAGTAACTTTGTACAGCATTCACAATAACAAAAGGACCCTAGTTAACTCTTAAATTTATAACGAAAACTTAATGCAGTTTCCTAAAGCTTTTAATGTTGACTTTTCTTCATGTCCAAAGTAAAAACTGAGCGACTACAATAGGAATTGGGCAGGTCTCTGGTTTTAACCATCCTATTAGCTGTACCAAGTATTAAGCCTAAACAAAACCGGAAAAGAGTATCTTCAAACAATCTAAACATTGGGAGCAGTGATTCTGAAATCACAGCAGTTTACCAATACCACTGGAGCAATTTCTTTAAAAAAAAAGTAAACAGGAAGAAGGAAGGTGGCATGCAGTAATGAACAATGTGAAGTTACCAGATCTGTGAAGGAACAAAAATAAATATGAAGATGCTGGGAATCAGATGGAAAGGGAGAAAAGGGATAGTAGGCAATCCTTGTACAAGGAAGACAGCAACAATTTCCTCAGACTGCTTTAAAACTTAAACTTAAAATTCAAAACATTTTTAGCATGGTTTCTGCAGTGGCTCCTACAAAAAAAAAAAAAAAATTGATGGGAACAGCCAATTTTAGCAAGGCTTTAGATTATTATTATTTGTAAAAGCAGCTAAAGAAAGATGAGAAAAGATTCATCCAGGCAAAGTGGACCTTTTCTCAGATTGCTCCTACGGGTACTTGAAGGTCTTTGCAATGCTGAAAAGGAAGTCCTGGAATAACCAGGATTATCCATCGCTATAAGCATGAAAAGAAGGCCATAATAATTTCCAATGAATGGCAAAGCAAGACTGTTTCTAGGAAGTTTGTGGGGAAGAAATCCAGAGTACTAAAAAAAAAAATAAATACATGATATTTTAGAAGTTTTCAACTTCAGAGATACAGTTTAAAATGACTACATTAATTTCATATCCAGTTTTCAAGTTACTAAGGAAATAAGATAAGCTTAAAAAAAATCCAATAAGTATCTGACATGCTACATCAAGGAAATTCTTGATGTTTATACCATGATAAAACTTTATAAATTCAGTTCTAGTAGAGAAAAAAGTTACTTTAAGATCAGAAAACACATTTAAATATGACAATGAAATACTCACGTAGATCAGTTTAAGCGAGACAACTGGGAGTGACACACTTAGCAATTCTATGGCTAACACAAACAAAACTTTGCTGTTGTTGTCAAATACTACAGCAAGGAACTGAAAGACAGTAAGTTATTCTTTTTGAATGGGTGTGTTCTTCAAATTAAGCAAACTGCTTGCTGTCTGCCATGTGAATTACATTACTTTTTCATTTTAGTCTTAGCAAGACTTTTCAGATACCGCCTTTAATGAAAAATAGAGATTGAAGTTGTTAGTGATGGCTATTATGTGAAAGATTTAAAAACAACTAGAGAGGTTTGAAATATCATATTTCAAAGGTCAAAACAATTCGGTTTCCTTAAACAAGTATTTATGTAACCTAAGATTTATATCCAGAACTTTGCAAATCAAGTTTTACATCAGCTTCTCCATGAGTTGTATTTTGAGAAAACACAATATAAATAATAGTGGTTTTTAACTATTACACATGAATCAGTTTGTTTCAATGGATTTAGAAGTAATGTATCTTTTTTTTTAAAAAAGAAAAAAATCTTGTAATCAGAAAAAGGTTACTTTTTCCTTTCTGCTATCGATTTTAAGGACTATAGTAAATGAAGTAAGGAGTTAAGTGATACTCCTCCCTCCTTCTTTTATGAATTGTATTACATGGGTCTTGATCAATTGAAAAGAACAGAATCAAATCTTGTTACATGCTTGCCAAACATGTCCCTCAAAGCTAACTTAGCCTGAAATAGAAAATCTGTGACAGTCAGAACTTTTTTTAAATTGAGCTACGTATTCATGAAGAACAAACTAATACAAACAGATTTATGACTAAAATTATGAAATTATTCGCAACTTGTTTGCAGAAGAACTCAACTGTGTGTGGTTTAAGAATGTTCTCAAAACACAGAGAATTTGTGCAGAAGCAAACAAATACATAAACTCAGAAGTTTCAAAAAACCACCACGGTGGAAATTTTTCTTTTTCACATTTATCCAGAAAAGTCTAGTGTCTCAGCACAGTGACATCTGTACAAACTGATTTGTATGGTACACCACACTTGTGTAAATTACACAATATATCCCATAAACACTAAAAAGATAAACACTAATATTTCTCAACTAAATTATGGATATACCTGTTGTAAAAATGTAATGTGAGATCAGGAGCAATATTACACAAAATCCTGAAAGTCACAGAATAAACCTGAGATTTTGGCAGTTTTATCAAAATGTCCTAAATAACTCTGTATGCATCACTAGTCCTCATGTCTTACTCACCATGTATATATTTTTGTCCCAAACAAAGAAGAGTAGACAACTTTTTTTTTGTTCAACGATACGTTAAACCCAAAGTGATTAGGTATTATCAAATTAAATATCATAAATAAAAAGTATTTACAGTATTTGCTAATTATTAGACAACAAAATAACCAAGTTGTGCAACAAACTTAAAACACCAACATCAAAAATGTGAAGTATTACTTAAATCTTCACATACTGATTTTACAAAAAACTATTAAAATATTTTAAAATTTCCATTTTATCTATTTCAAACAAAGAAATTTCAAAAATGTTTAAGACTATTAAGAGTCATCAATTACACAGGCACTTCACATGTAAACAATCTACAGTACAACTGAAAAAAATATTTGGCACCAACCTAGAAGACTGGGAAAAAAAAAAAAAAAATCAATAAAAGGTGTCCTTTTCCCATTGTATACTGTTCTATGTAATCACCATACACTCAGACTAAATACTGGCAATGTTAGAAGTGTGTAAGTTACAATCAGGAGTGCAAAAAATAAAGAACGCAAATACTGAGCTTTCTGAGAGAGTGAAAGCAGATGACAAGTGGTCAGTCACTCGCATTTTTACCATCACACCATCGCTACGTTTTTCTTACCTTTAAATCAAATTATTGACTTGAGAGATTAAAGTGAGGAGGGGCGTGCTTTGTACTTCCAAAATAATTCAAACAACATTTTCAATGTAGAAAAAGAAATCCAGCATTTAACTGTAACACTGTGCCATTTAACAATGGCAGCTTTTAACTTAAATTAACTGGAAAGAGAACCTGATGCTACCACAATCTCTTTGTGCATCCAATTACAAAAGAAAAAAAGAATAATTATGTTCTTTTAGCTGTCAGCTGACTCCATGGTTTTCATGTACAACTCCAAAGTAAGGCTCTCTACAGCATCTGGACAGATACTAGTTTTTGATGGCTTGGATGTTCCCATGTAGGAAGCTGAACTGCCTCACAGCAATCCAGATCAACAGATCATACAGCAAGTTGTCTAGCTTCCAAGAAGTCATATCACATGGAGGAAAGCTGAGATACTTTCAACGCTGGCAATTCAAGCAGAGCTTGAACTGTGAGGCCAACCTTCACCAGACCCCTTTCCTCCAAAATGTGATGAGGCAAGCAAAGTCTCTCCTGCAAAATAAAGGGGACGCATATCAAGCTTCATTCGTTTCTTCCCCAAGGCAGGGAAAAAACACATTCTCTCTGAAGTCACACATACATCGCTTTAAGACACTTGCACAGAAAATGTGTTTGGCCATAAATTTTACACATGGTTCCTACAGTTACAGAATGGCCAGAAACTAATTATATCTAAGATCTGTTTGAAGTGTTAAACTATGACAACACCAGAAGATACATAAAAGACTGTGTCTGGGTTTCAGCTGAGACAGTTAGTTCTTTCAGCAGCCAGAAGAGCTCTGTGTTTTGGTTTTTAGTCTGGGATTCACTATGAGAAGAACGTTGACAGTGCACTGATGGTTACAGTCGGCACTGAGACCTCAAGGACTTTTTAGCTGCCGTGTTCTTGCCAGTGTGCAGGAGCACAACAGGATAGGGGGAGCATGGCAGGATAAAGAACCCACAACTGCCCTTATGATTTGTACTTAGACTTAGGATTGAGGGCTAAACTGGCCAATGGAGCATTCCATATCATGCAGCGCCACGTCCAGTATAAAAATGAGGGCTGACCCGAAAGGAGAGCTTTTGCTCTTCCAAGGGCTCTCACTCTCAGAGTACTATCTCTCTCTCTCTCTTCAGGGCTCTTGCTGATCCAGGATTGCTGTGTCAGGACTTATCTGTTTCGGGATCGTTAGTCCAGGCCGGGCTTTGGTCACCAGATGGTGAGCAATTACACTGTGCATCACTTGTCTGTATACATTATCATTATACATATATATATATTCATAT